TTAATTTTAAAATTCATGGCTCTTAATCTTTAATCATGATTATATTATAAAAAATTGATTTCTCATATTTTATTATTAATTTAATTTTTTATAAACTAAATTAGGTGAATGGGGACTAATAATTTTTTTAATATTATTGTGATGTATGTACCATCCACATCGGACATGAGGCCCACCTCGGTACTTGGTCACCCAACGACATCGGCCAAACAAGCAAGCCCACAACTTTACTAGGCCGTAACCGATCCTATTCTCGACTAAGGGAAAAAAATCCCAATTTACACCAAGGTATGCACATTATATATATATGAGACCCACACACCTACCAAGGAGTAACTTAAGCATCGAAGTCTCTTTTGCAAGTACCACCCCTACCTTGGAGTGACTGATTTGCAAGACAGGAGAGGCTCACCAATCTCATCAGAGAGATCGTCATCAGACCAATCTCAGGTGAGAACATCTTGGCGCCCACCGTGGGCTCGAAGAGAAATTCCCTTTCTTCGGGTACCTTATGGTTTCTACCCGAAGCCACAACAAGAGAGTAACAAACGACACAAACCAGAATGGACCATGATGGAAGGTGGCTTCGTTCCATGCACGCCCTTGATCTTGGTTCAACAAGGAAACTCCAAAGAAGATGGAAAGATGGTGGTGATGTTGGCGGAAGCACAAAGTGAGGATGGTTTGCTCAAGGTTGTTTCATCCAAGTGTAGGATGAAACCTATTTAGGGTTTTGCTCTCTTAGGGTGGAGATGGGAGGAGGTTAGCCAAAGGCAACCTAGAAACTAAGGGAGAGTTGGTGTTTAGGGTGGTGGTGGTCACGCTCAAAGGGGAGGAAGGTGTTTGGTGGGGTGTTGCTCCTTTTGGCTAGCTCACTTCACTAAGGTAGGTGAAGGCCAACCAAGGAAGGCCAAGCTCAACTCACTCATGGTGGTTTAGGGAGGAGGAGAAGGGAGGGGCCGTGGAGTACCTAGAGACTATGGAAGAGAAGTTGAGGCAAAAAAATGCACACTCAAATTCAATATATCCAAAGTATGTACAAGGTGATAGGCTAGGGTATAAATAGGAGTGCTAGCATCTAGGGTTTCATTTGGTGTTGCATTGGCCGAAATTCATCAAGCCAAATGCATACTAAATGAGATGCAAATTAACCCTAGATGCTACTTGGTGGCCAAGTTTGGCATCTAAGGGTTTAGGTTGGCTACAACAAGGTGCATGATAAGTCTATGCACCTTGGCCCTCCAATTGGGCCTAAGCCTACCTAACACCAAAAATGTCCAAACAATTCCACTAAGTGTGCGTCACCCTCCTAATGGACACGCCTAGCCCATTTTGAAAATAAACTAAGCATCTAAACACCCCAAAATACAAGGGCAAAATGGGAAATACAAAGAAATAAACCCTAGGACTAAAATACCCCAAAATACAAGGGTAAAATTGGAATAAACCAAATAAATCCTACACTACTCAAAATTAGTCATAGCATTGGACCATGTGATGGGTTTCACATGAAGTACCATGGATGGTCCTCCATCAGACCAAGCATGGAAGGAGAAGCTACACTCCGGCGATTGATTGAACGATCGAACAAATGTGACAACAGAACATGGAGGCCCTCGAAGCCATGCACGTCCAGCATCAAGCTGATCTAACTCCCCAACAACCCCCCCACAAACCTACTCACCAAAGCAATCACCATGAGGAAGAACACCAGTTGCCTTTGTTTCCATCGATGACACATCAATCACAGGCACCCACACATCGCTCGGGCCACAAGGTCAGCTGCGCACCCACCCAAGCCCTCACACATTGGATGGGTGTCAAGTGCCACCCTTTCATAGATGGCATCATGGAGATGCCTCTCCCTCTAGGTTGGAAGCCCCTAAACATCAACCGGTACGACAACTTAGCCGACTCGAATGAGCACGTCGACGCATATGTCACGCAGATGAATCTGTACACTAGTGATGATGCCATCATGTGCTGAGTTTTTCTAACCTCAATGAAAGGCCTGGCACTCACCTGGTACAGTCAGCCACCAACAAGATCGATTGACAATTTCGAGATGATGATCAGAAGATTTATAGCGCAGCACGCCACAAGCATACCTCACCACATAACCTCCGTCGCCCTCGCCAATCTCAAGTAGGACGAGAACAAAAAGTTAAGGAAATTCATGGAGCGATTCGCCAACGTCTCCATCCAGATTCGCAATCTCAATCCTAAGGTCACCCTGCATTCCATGCTCATGGCATTAAAATCGGGCTCTTTTGTCGACAGCCTTTGTCGACGACCTCCGACAGATATGGACAAGCTACACGCCCGTGCCACGGGATACATCTAGATGGAAGAACATGTAAAATTCAGTGAGCAAGTTCGTGACAAACCACAAGGAAAGCAATATCACGTTGGCCAAGGCCACAAGGTCAAGCTGAAGGCGACAAATGAAACTCACTTCAAAAGACCTCGGAAGAATAAGGTCGGAAAGTATGACTTCTACACCCCTTTGAACGCGCCTTGGGTGCACATATTAGAGGATGCAAGTAAAGCCGAGCTGGTCAGCCTGCCACCACCAGGACACAACCCAAACCATGTTGATAGGACAAAACATTGTCGTTATCATAAGAACTACGATCATACAACTAAAGAATGTCAGACGCTCAAGGACCGATTTGAAGAGCTCATCCAATGGGGAAATCTCAAACAATACATTTAGAGATCCCAACCCCATAGAGGCACCTATCATGGACAAGGTAGGGGACGTGGACGTGGTTGAAGTTTGACTTTTCGAACTGATCAACCATCCAGATCTCGCCAGAATGCAGGTGACACCGGACAACTTGAGGCAAAACCTGACACAAAGCAAGCCCCCTTGCAGGGTGTCATCAATACAATTGCGGGAGGATTCCCTGGAGGTGGAACAAGCAGCTCTGCTCGCAAGAGGCACCTACGTAGCATCAATAACCTCTACGTAGGCACCTCCTGCCCACCGTGCGCCTCATTGCCAATAACCTTCACAGACGACAACTACGTTGGAGTCTGTCGAAATCAGGATGACCCCATAGTCATCGCAGTTGAGGTAGCCAACTAGGAAGTTCACAAGACACTGATTAACCAAGGCAGCTCGGTGGACATCCTATATTGGCCAACATTCCTAAGGATAGATGTCCCTCACACTCTTATCCAACCATACTCAAATCCCCTGGTCAGTTTTGCAGGAGAATGAGTCCACACTCGTGGTTACGTCAAGTTGTTAACCACCTTTGGGGCGAACCCCAATTCCAGGCGAGTAATGGTTAAGTACCTCCTTGTCGATGCTAGTACATCCTATAACATCATCATAGGATGACCGACTCTTAATCAGCTTGGGGCCGTAGTATCCACCCCACATCTGACCATGAGGTTCCTGGGGAATGATGATCAAGTGATCTTTGTCAGGGCTAACTAGAAGACAGCTCGACAATGCTACGTAGAGAGCTTGAAGGCGGCACCCCCAACCGACACTCAACACCAAGGTGGAGCCCCAACTGTGGCCCACGTAGCTCGGGGCATAATAAATGATCTCGACTCGAGAGTGGAAACCGACGACAACTGCCCTAGCCCAATTGACGACCTAATGGAATTCCAAATTGGGGACCTCCCAGTGCAATGCACCAAGATCAGCTAACAGCTCAACCCTGAACTACAACAACAAATCATGGCTGAAGCGACCTATTTGCCTGGTCAAGTGCTGAAATGGCAAGTATAAATCCCAATTTTATCTATCACAGGTTGGCAATCCACACAGAGGAAAAACTAGTGGCTCAAAGAAAAATAAAGGTCGGGGGCGACCGATGAGACGCATCGTGATCGAGACACAAAGGCTGATGAATGCGGGCTTCATCTGAGAGGTAAGGTACACTACATGGTTGACCAATGTGGTGCTTGTCAAGAAAAATTTTGGAAGGTGGTGCATGTGCATCGACTATACCGATCTGAATATAGCCTACCTGAAGAACACATACCCCTTACCTAGCATCGACAAACTGGTAGACGGAGCCTCTGGCCACACTCTCATTAGTTTCCTCGACGCGTACTCCGGTTACAACTAGATCATGATGTACCCACCAGATGAGGAGAACACAACTTTCATTACTGAATAGGCTAACTTCTACTACCGCGTCATGCCTTTCGGCCTCAAGAATGCAGGAGCCACTTACCAGAGATTAATGGACAAGGTCTTCCACCAGCAGATCGGAAGGAACATGGAGGTCTACATCGATGACATAGTTGTGAAAACCACATCAGCTGAGTCGCATGTGACCGACTTAGCCAAAGTCTTTTGCCAAATCCGAAAACACAACATGCGCCTAAACCTCGAGAAATGTATCTTCGAAGTCCAGGGAGGTAAGTTCCTCGAGTTCATGATTACTAACATGGAGATGGAGGCCAACCTTGAGAAATGTGTAGCCATCATACGGATGCAGAGCCCCCAAATACTGAGGGAAGTTCAAAGGCTAACAGGCTGCCTAGCCTCCCTATCCCAGTTCATACCGAGATTAGTAGAGAAGGAGTTCGCCTGGACCGAGCAATGCGAGGAAGCATTCTCTAGCTTCAAGAGCTTCCTCGTCACCCCTCCAATCCTAACTCGACCAGATAAACAGAGCGACCTGCTCTTATACCTCGTAGTAGCTGAACAAGCAATCAGTGCAGCCCTCATGCAAGAAGACAACAAGAAACAGGACCCGATATACTTCACCAGCCGTCTCCTCTAAGATACAAGAAAAAGGTACCAAAGCATCGAGAAACTAGCCCTAGCACTCGTTATTGCTGCTCGACGACTCTAGCCTTACTTTTAGAGCCATCAAATTATAGTCAAGATCGATTACCCCATCTGACAAATACTCAAGAAGCTTGAGCTCACCGGTCGCATGATTGCTTGGTCGATCGAATTGTCCAAGTTTGGAATCTGGTACGAAAGCAAAGGGACGCCCACATCATAATACTTGGCAGACTTCGTCATGAGATTAACCCCCGCCACGTCGAAAGGAAAGATAACATGGACCCTGCACGTGGACGGCTCCTCCAATGTCAAAGGAGGAGCGGTAGGGATCATCTTGGAATGGCCCAATGGCATTCTCATCGAAGAATCCCTAAAACTCGATTTTCAAGCCACCAACAATCAAGCCGAGTATGAAGCACTCCTAGCCAGCTTGAGATTGGCCCATTACGTTGGAGCAACAAAAATCCTTTGCAATAGTGATTCCAAACTAGTGGCGGAACAACTGGCAGGCACCTACCAAGCTAAAGACCCCCTCTTGCAACGATACCTTCTCATAGCCACTAGCTAGACATCAAGATTTGAAGAATTTTCCATGCCATGTACCTCAGGAGTAGAACGTCAGGGTCGATCTCCTCTCAAAACTCGTCAGCACTAAACACCTCGACCAACACAAAACCATCATCCAGGAAACCCTTACCTCCCCTAGCGTAGAAAGCAAAATAGTCTGTACAACCGAGGCAACTGAAAAAGATTGGATGATCGATGTCTGGCATTACCTAACAAATGAAACCCTACCAAGTGACAAAAGAGAATCTCGGAAGATCAAGAACCAATCATCCTGGTTCTTAATAGAGTTAGGTAAATTGTTCAAACGAAGCATCTCGGCACCACTACTCAAATGCCTCAATAACGGCCAAGTCGAAGCTGCAAATAAAGTAATCCTCCAAGAGCTTAGAAAGAGATTGGGACACGCTAAAGGACTTTGGGCGGAAGAGCTCCCCAGCATCCTATGGGAATACCATTGCACCCCATAGTCAGTAACATAAGAGACACCGTATAGATTAACTTATGGGTCTGATGCCATGATTCCCATGAAGGTAGGAGAAACATCCCATCAGAGGTTCACCTTCAATAGTGACCAAAACAACAAAGAGTTAGCTGTCAACCTCGACCTGGTCGATGAGATACGAGAAGAAGCTCAGATAAAAGAAGAAGCTTGCAAACTCTGCGCATCTAGAAGATACAACATCAAGGTCTGACCACGTGGTTTCTGACCTGGAGACCTTATCTGGCGACTATGGAGCGAAGCAAGAAAGGACTCCTTCGACGGAAAGATAGCACCAAATTGGGAAGGACACTTCCGAATCAGCGAAGACCTAAAAAATGGCGCATATCGGTTATAGGAGCTTGGTGGTAAAGTGATAAATCATAATTTTCATGCATTTTCTTACCTTTGTAATTTCCTATTAAATATTATTAGTTCCTAATTGTTTTCTCTTGCCATATTTTATTGTTTTGAGGTTTATTGGGCTATTATTTTGGAATTTCATTTAATTGGATTTATTAGCCTAATTAATTTCATAATCATTTTTTGTAGAGAACTTGGAAGCACTTATTGGACTAGGAGCACTTCCACATGGACCTTCCACGTGGAACAACTTCAGTATAGTTTTTATTTTAGTTTTCTATTTCGTATTTTGGTGTGTAATGGGCCAACTGGGTTAGCCCAGTAGTTGGACCCGAATTCAAAAATTCGTAGGGAACCTTGTAGACCCCTAAAATTGTCCGGGTCGGAAATAAAGCTTGAAGACTCTCGAAGACTGAAGGAAGATCAGCCAGAAGGACTCCTGGAAGGCCCTAGGAGGGTTCTCTGTAGGTCTAGAGGTCTTAGAATAGCTTAAAATAAGGAAGTGGAGGGAATGAAGCCCAATACGGCCGTACTGAACTTAATATGGCCGTATTGAAGCTTCAATACGGCCG